CGCTTACTAGGAATATTTTTATCACAAAGAAAAAAAAATACATGAGGTATTAAATTATATTTCAAATCTTGAATTCCATTCACTTGGCCTCTGGGAGAGCTAGAGGACTGGACATGAGCACAGATCAAAGGAATTCCACAGTTAGGACACAGAGGTACAGAAGTCACCCCCACCACCCACACAGTCAGTGGGGCAGGAAGATCCTTCCTAATGTGCTCTCACTGCTGCTTCAGTCAGTCTGGCACCAGCCTAGTGAGAAGAGACTGGGAAGAACTTCGCAGTGATCAGGGAGTCCACAGTAAAGAACTGACTAGATTTTACTTTGGGAATCTAAACAAAGAAAACAAGTGTATCAAGTATCGAGCAAATTTATGAGTTCAGTCAGTGATAGGAAAGAAGAGGTGATCCTTGGAAAGAGCTGACCAGGTTCTGCTCCTGGAGATCTACTGAGGACTTGGTAGAAAGGGGACCATATGACTCAGTAGAAGAAAGGGGAGACCCAGAGGCTGCTGTCCATGGTGCCACTCACGAATTTCAGCTTGGCTTTGCAGTTTGTAGGACTAGGGTTATTAGTAGGGTGATAGGTAGGATCAACTGAGGGTGGAGACAGCTTAGATAAAGTTGATATGAGTTAGGAATTGAAGCAAGGAAAATATTATGCTTGGAGGAGGTAGAGATGGAGCAATGAGGAGATGTGATTTGGGGGGATAGTTGTCTGGTTTTTGGTGCTGGGGACTGAATCCAGGGCCTTGGGCATGCTAAGCATGTGCTCCACCACTTAATTATGCCCCTATTCCATTGCATTGTACATATATATATATATATATATATATATATGAACAAAAATGCTTAAACTGCAGGCACTTATGATTGAATATATTTTAAATGTCTAGCTAAATATCTTGTTTGTACAATACATGGTAATAATTGTTTCATAAAAGCAATAACAAGTCAGGTGCAGTTGTGCATGTCTATAATCTGAGCTTCGTGCTCGCTTCGGCAGCACATATACTAAAATTGGAACGATATAATCTGAGCTTCTTGGGAGGCTGAGGCAGGAAGATCACAAGATGGAAGCCATGCTAGATAGTTTAGCAAGATTGTATAAAAAAAAGCAATAACAGTGGGGATTTCCTTAAATTGTATACTACTGTGTTTAAAGTGCTTATTCATAAAAAGAATTAGGTAATACACAACTTAATTTGAAAAAACTATCAGTAAGGAATTCAAATTCTACTACATTGGGCTGGTGAGATGGCTCAGTGGTCTAAAGCACCTACTTAGAACAAGCTTAGCAAAGCACAGG